CCCCCCCCCCCGCCCCCCGGTTTGGTACAGATGTAAAAATGGCCTCAGGCTTGTGCTTCCTGCCCCCAACTCCCTCTGCACCTGACCCCACCTCCTACCATTTTCCTCAGCTCACTCTGCTCCTGAATGCACCAAGTGTACTGCCTCGGGGCCCTGACACCTCTCACTTTCTCTGGAACATTCTTCCCCAGATATTTATAGGACTGTTTCCCTCACTTTTTTCAGGTCTCTCTGCTCAAATGTCCTGTCCTCAGAGACGTCTTCTGTAACCAGCCCATCTACAATCTCATGTACGTATACATCTGCCTGCGTCCTTACTGTCCTTCGTGTCCCTGATCAGCCCTGGCTGCGAGGGAAGCCCACGTGGCCGTGCTGGCCTGCAACAGTGCCTGGCACGCGGCTGGTGCTCAGTAGACTTTTCTTGAATAAATGAATAAAAAGTAAGCAAATAACTTCAGCCAAAAGCAGTGACCATTAAGGCTGAAAGAAATAACTGATTGTGCCTTTCATTAGTAGTCTTTTTTTTTTTTTTTAACTTTATTTTGAGAGAGAGAAAGAGAACACACGCACACAAGTTGGGGAGAAGCAGAGGGGGAGAGGGAGAGAGAGAATCTCAGGCAGGCTCTGCACTGTCAGTGCAGAGCCCCACATGAGGCTGGACCTGAGCTGAAATCAAGAGTTGGACACTCAACCAACGGAGCCACCCAGGCACCTAGTACCCTTGTTGATTTAATCCTTTACTTAACTGTCCTTGATAGATGCATGAAAGAAGTACTGTGACAAAAAGCAGGTCTGAAACTGAGAGTGGCCCAGCCCTAGCTAGGAGAGCTCAGGACTCTCCAGGCTTCTCAGTGCCACCTCAGCCCCCTTCTAGAAATGCCATGTGCTTGTGGGTGCCTGGGGGGCTCAGTTGGTTAAGCATCAGACTCTTCATCTCAGCTCAGGTCCTGATCTCCTGGTTGGTGAGCTGGAGCCCCGCACAGGGCTCTGTGCTAACAGGAGCCTGCTTGGGATTCTCTCCCCCTCTCTCTCTCTCTCTGTCAAAATAAATAAATAGATCAAGTTAAAAAAGAAATGCCATATGCTTATTGCCCCGTCTGCCCAGGTCACTGAGGCTCCGCCCATCCTGGGTCTCCGAGCCTGCAGCTGCCACCAGGCTCTCCCACTCACATCCAACAGCCAAGCCTCTTGGGGCCGCAGCTCCGTGGGCCCAGCACACCCCAGCCTGCGTCTGCAGCCCGCACAGCCCCGACCACGTAAACTCTCCACGTCTGTATGCGGGCTGCCGAGCGAGCGGGGCCAGGAAGGCCAGCCTGTGGCGCCGGTGCGAACTCAGGTTCTGACCTCAGTCAGGACCTCTGGCTTCCCTCGTGTCCTCCGTCAGCTCATTCTCTCGTCTCCGTGGCTGCGCCAGACCTCTGTCCCCTGGCTTGTGACCCACGCTCAGCAGACAGCGCTGCTGGGACTTCGTAAGCAACGCAGGCCACCAGGCACTGCCCAGGAACACAGCCATCCGCCCCACCCTGGCCTCTTTCTTTTGGTCCCAGAAGACAAGGCGCCCCTATTCCTGACTGATCCTCCCTCCGGATGGTGGCCCTCATCTCTCCCCGCCCCCACCACAAACATGGCTCAGATGAAAGGCACCAAGCTGCACACAACAGACCCTTCCCGTGGCTCTCCGCTTATCAGTCCTCTCTGTGGGGTCTGGGACTATCCATCCCTCCAGAAAAGCCTCCTCAGCCGCCCTCTGGCCCAACTGATGGCCTCCCTTAGGCCTTCCTCTGGGGCTTGTGGGAAGAGCATCCCCTAAGCCTCTGGTCTTGACCTTGTGCTCTCTCCTTTACACACCTTTCAGTGTGACGCCCTCACCCCCATCCAAGGCTCCCCCCGCTGCTCTGCCGTCTCTAAGCCACTGACCCGGCGCTGTTTCCCCGCTGAGCGGCAGTCTGGTACCTTCAGGCAGCTCTGCGTCAACCCCGTCCATACCCAAGTCGGCTTCCTCAGAACCTCGCCCTTCTGCCCACCACCCACTCCACCCGACAACAGGCAGCACCGCTGTCTACTCCCGCGGCTCAGAAATAGCAGGATCGTCCTTAACCTTCCCGCCCTGCTCTCTGGGTCTGGTTGATTCTGCCTCCTTGGTGAGGCTCAGCCGCATCCCTCCTGCTTCACGGATTCGGGCCTCCATCCTGCTCATCCCAATTCTTCCAGCAGAGCTCACCTTCTGGCCCTTCTCCAGCGCCGCTTCCCTCCGGCTGCTGGCATCGTCTTCCTTGAACACGATCACACCGCTCCCTGGCTTTAAACCCCGCGAGGGCTCTGGACAGCTTGCCGCTGGAATGGGTTTACTGCTTTCTCTTTTTCAGACTGTAAGCAACTAGGGGACAAAGACCAGGCCGTTTCCCTGGCATCCGGCACAGCACCGGGCACATGGCGGGTGCTCTGTCAATATCCGAGTGGAAGGATTCCAAGTCTCATCAGATGCCAGCTGGGTGGGTGAGGGTGCAGCGGGGCAGTGGGTAAGTCTGCCCGTGGGGGGTGAGGGTGCAGTGAGGCAGCAGGTAAGGCCGTCTGGGGGGTGAGGACGCAGCGGGTAAGGCCACCCCGGGGGGGGGGGAGAGGGCGCAGTGGGGCAGCAGGTAAGGCCACCCACGAGGGTGATGGGGCAAGGGACAGTGGCTAAGGCCGCTGGGGGGGTGACGGGGCAGGGGACAGTGGCTAAGGCCGCTGGGGGGGTGACGGGGCAGGGGACAGTGGCTCAGGCCGTGTGGGGGGGTGACAGGGCAGGGGACAGTGGCTAAGGCCGCCTGGGGGGTTGACAGGGCAGGGGACAGTGGCTAAGGCTGCCTGGGGGGATGACGGGGCAGGGGACAGTGGTTAAAGAGCAGAGGCTTTGGGCACAGGCTCTGTGGCCTGGGCGAGATTTCTCGTCTTTTGTCACCCTAGGCTTCCTGAACCGCTGTGCTAGAACACCACCGCCTCCCTTCCGGAGAACGGCACCAAAAGGACTTAGCACAGTGCCCGACACAGGGATGCTCTCAAAGGCCAGGGGCCGTTGTCCCTACTGACGGCACCCATCAGTTAAACATCAAGGGTAGAAAAGAACCCCAGGTCCTTAATGCTGGAGTCCTTCAGCCGCGGGAAGGAACCGACGCCACAGATGCGGTACGTGGTGAAACCAGACTTGAAACACGTTTTCAGTACAGGGTAGCCCGCACCTACGCGATGGGCTGGAGGGTTGCTCTGCCGCGCGGGGTAAATGAAAGTGCTTTGCGAGCACTGCACGCCCTGTAGACAGAAGACGCTCACACGGTGTAGACAGAAGACACACACACACCCGGCATACTTCACACCCGCGTACTGGGGCTCCCGGCGAGCATACCTGGGGGCAAGTTCACAATCACAGTCCTGCCGTGCTCTCCTATTGTCCACTGTGATCGTCTGTTAAACTAGGAACCTAACGACTCTGACTCCTCCTTGCAGCCTTCGCTATAGCGAGCAGTGGAGGGAGGACAGCGCAATCACGTGAAATTTCAACACACGCTCCCCTTCCCGTTGAGAACCGCTTTGCTAAATGAAGTGTCAGGCTGTCAGGATGACGTTTGGGGGGGTACATTTCTCACCGCCACTGCCCTTTCCTGACGTCACCTGCAGAAGGGGTCTCTGAGTCAGAACACATCCTTTCTCTACGAATCAGGCAAATCTCTTGCTGATTGGGATCAGCCTCTTGGAGGCTCTGCAAGGGCCACCCTCTTGGAGGAAGCCAGGCCACCGGGGACAGAGGGGCAGAGAAGGAAGGGGACTTAGGTAGACACCCTTGCAGGGCAAGCTGGGCTTTACTCAGCGTGACGAGAGGAAACGGTGAGGGAACGGGTATGAGGTCTTCTGGTCCGCAAGTTCTTCATGGCGAGTGTAAGGAAGACCGAGCTCTTTCCAGCGCTGGGCTGGGACCAGGTGCTTTCAGGACACGGGGACTGGGGGCGGGGGAAGAGCCAGCTGCTGTCACCCAGACACACACCAGGCCAAGTCTGCTGCAGCTGACACGTACCCTAAAAACTGAACTCAAGGGAGATTCTTCGTTATCTCCCACCTTACTGATTATGAGAACACATAAAGCTTTCAATGTCTTCTCAGTGTTGGGTGTGGCACTCCCCGGCCACTCCCAGCTAGAGGTGTTCGGGAGGGCGCCTGGGGCCTCTCTGCTGTGTCCCGGACATGCCTCACTCACGTCTTTGGGCTCAGCTGGAACCTTTGGGCTCAGCTGGAACCGACTTGCTCTGAACTCAAGAGTTGCCTCCAAGCGGACCCTGCAGCCGCGTCTGAGGTCCGGTTTGGCTGCAGGGAATTCCCTTCTACCGGTGGCCGTGACTGTACCTCTGCCCCTGGAGCAAAACCAGCCACTCAAGAGGGCGCAAGTCCTGGTGCGTACGCGGAGGCTGTGCACACAGTGATCCTAGACACGGGGTCAGACCTGTGACTCACCTTCCCAGGAGGAGGGCGTGTGCCACCGAGAAAAGCTGGCAGTCCTGACGAGGCTGGCGTCACCCAGCACCCCCCACCCCTGCTCTGTCCCTCCTGCTTGCCCGCCCTGAATCACTCTGCCAATCACACACCCATGTGTGAAAGTGTCTGCGTGGCCTGAGGCACATTTCAGGTGCACTCGACTCATGGTAAGGGTGAGGACCTGGCACCGGAGTGCACAGGCCACACACAAGGCTCAGCCGGGACTTCCGGGGACTTCTGGCAAAGGAGGCCCCAGTTAGTGCTGTCCACAGAGGCCCTGGACCCTCGCGGAATCACAGCCCTGCGAGGCCTCCTCCGTGAGACCTTCTCACAGACACGTTTTTCAAGAAGGCTCTATGCCCAACATGGGGCCTGAACTCACAACTCCAAGATCAAGGGCTGTGTGCTCTTCCGACCTGAGCCAACCCGGCGCCCCTCCCACCTCTCCCCGGGGACAAAGCTTTTTACCATAAAGTCAGAAAGAAAACAGCACACGATTGTTTTTCCATTATAAAATTTATCAAGGGAATAATTTGAGTCCTTAAGGGTTTGGTTTAGCAAAGTAAAAGACTAAAAACCATGAGAACGCTTTAAGTTCTTTTTTAACCAAGTGGGTCTCAATTAAAGAAACCCTCTATTACTTTAGGAGATGCTGCTTTCTAAGGCAGAAAAATCGATCTCCAAGTCCCGCTCTCTTACCCCTAAGAACCGAACCTCCCCAGTGATGGCTTCGCTAAGAACCGGCGCCACCAAAGACAGAGCTCTGACAACAGCCCCGACGACAGAGCCCCGATGACAGAGCAGGGTGGAGTCGGTGACCCGCAGGGTGATCTGATCACCCAGCCAGCATCCTTCTGACCGTGAAATGGGGCGCTGCTACTCATGTGAGAACAAAAGGCATAAAATGGGACACACGGCCACTCTAAGGATAAGGCAGTTTGGGAAAGGACATTTCCCAGGATGCCCCGTCCCCCAGAAGTCAAAAGCTCACCTGGAGCCCAGCACCCTGGGACCTGCGGGCAGCACCATGTTAAGAGGTAAACGGTATGGACCAGATCCCGACAAGAGGTTCCCCTTCCACGGGACTCTTAACCAGACAAGACAGAACACCAGAGGTGAAATTTCAGTGACTCTTAAGTGTGGGGTGGAACGGCTCTCTGGCGGCTGGGGCAGCGCGCTGAGCCGCGGCCCGGTCCCGGTCCTCTCGACCTCGGGGCTGCTCCCCGCCTCTGCTCACCGGCGCCCCCGCTGCCGCTAGTCCTTCGGGGGATTCTGGGCCAGGTGCTGTTCCCACTCGACTTCGACCAGCTTGTACAGCTCCATGGTGGCCTGAGCGTCTTCCACGGAGGAATGTCCGCTTTTCCCAACCTGAGCGCAGGAGGAAGAGGAGGGCGTGAAGCCAGGGACGGGCGGATTTCCTTCCCGCCTGGCCCTGCGCGGGGGGCTACCAGGGCAGAACTCGGGTGGGGTCTAGGCCCGACCCAGCTGAGGCTCGACCCCTACACCCCTACGCTACCGGCTCAGCCCCTCCTGTGGACGGCGGGGCTGTGCGGGTCCACGGCCGCCCAGCACGACACACCGGGTCCCTGCCAGGCCTCCCGAGCCCCCCAGCTCCTACCAGTCCCTACATGACGCATGCCGCCCTCCTCTGAGCGCAGATGCGTCGGCCACGCGGCACCTGCTCTGCGGGCTGCTAGACGGCACCTCATGCTCTCCTCTCTCCTCAGTGAGGGCCTGCACCCACCTGAAGGCTTCTCCCCATCCCAAGCACCCTGTGACCCTCTGGGAAGGAGCGGTCACCCATGCACAGATGGAGAGACTACTGGGCCCCGCAGCCTAGAGCCCTTCCCGCCAGAGCAGCCAGGCAGGGCAGTTCTGGGGCCAGAGTCCAGAGCAAGGCCACAAGGAGGGCGCCCCCCGCGTCCAAGCCGGGGCCTGGCCACATCTGGGGAGACACTACCTGGATGTCCCGGTTCAGCAGCTTCTTGGTGAGACACTTCAGGGACACGGTGGCGTTCTCCGGGCACTCGGCCTTGCGGTTGAGGGGCGGGATATGGGAGGTGTCGCGGGTGAGGGACTTGGGGTGGAAGTACTGAAGGGCTTTAAAGTCGTTGTGGACGGCATGCCCCACCACTATCTTCCCTGCGAGGATCTTCAAGATCTGAAACAGGAACAGAGGCGGCGGTGGTGGGGCGGGGGCCAGGCGGAGCCCCCCACACCCTAGAGGCCCGGCGTGGCGTGGCTGGGGGTCCTCCAGGCCCAATGCCCTCTCCCACCGGCTTCCTCCAGCTGAGCCCAGCTCCACTCCCCAAGGCGAAGGCAGCCGTCGCCCGTGGCCATGACGTGACCCAACGTGCACTTACATCCCCGACGCTCCCGACCTTCTCGTGAACTTCCACCCCAGCCACAGACCGGTTTGCCTCAGTCCCGAATGACACTCACGCCTGAGATGGTCACCTAACTATCCAGATCGGTCCTGGCTCGCTACCTGAGGACCTTGAACCACTGTCACGCACTGGCCTGAGACACGAGGCTGGGACAAATGGGCTCAAAGATGGGCTCTGGGGAGCTAACAGAACCCCCAAAGCGTACACAAACCGTTACAGACGTGCGTGGTTTTGTGGGGTGGGGAGGCCTACGGCTTCCATCGGACTCTGGAAGGGCCTACGAGCCACAGAACCTACGAGCCAGCAGGGGCCCCTGGAAGCGGCCGACCGCTGCGAACGGACTCACCGGCCGGCCTGGGCCCTGAGGAAACGCCTCCGGATGAGAGCCCGACGGGAATGCGATCGGCCAGGCAGGAGCGGGCTTCCAACCCACGTCCGCCAGCACCTTTGCTGCGGTCAGTGGCCCGGCCCTCGTGAAGGCCACCCCACCTTCCGCCTCCCAAGCGCGGCGCAGCGGTGCCCTGGTGCACAGGCCCTTCAGCTCTTCTCTCAGGTTCTTTCTAAACCCAGCCCCCTACCTCTGCTGAACCTCCTCCCACTGACTGCAGGTGCACGGAAAAGCCAAGTGGAATAGTGTGTGTGGGGAGGGCTGAAGTGACAGAAAAGTGGACCACGAGCGCCCTCTGGAGGCCTCCCAGGACCAGCAGGCTTCCTCGCTTCCTTCGCCTCCGGTTCACCTTCCTTCTCCCCCGGTTCACCTTCCTTCTCCCGTCCCTTTGTGATGCTCCCAGGCCCCAGGGAGGAGGTTTGCTCAGTGAGTGAGCTGAGAGCCGTAACATGGCAGCCCTGTGTCGTTTATTTATCGCACCCGTCACTCGGGGGGACACCTGACCCAGATATGCCAAACACCCCTAACCCCACCCCCACCCCTCCCACACTGGCCAGGAAGCCCTCGCCACCCTCCCCGAACCCCGGCTCTGCAAGGCATTCCCAGCGAGAGCCTCTCCCCTGGCCCTCCATGCCCGCTGCGCTGTCCCTCAGTGGTGGTTCTCCCTCTGCACGGATCCAGTTCCCCAGAGGGGGATTTGACTGGGGAGCCAACATCGGTCGCTAACTGTAGCCTTCAGGCCTCCCACCGCTCTGCCCCAGCGGGAAGCCCCCTTCCGGGGTGATCCACTCCCCTTCCCTCCTCCACACCCTCTGGAGCCGTCCTGGAGGCATGTCCTTTGCTGAAAAAACAAAGCGGACCTCGGCCCACCCGCCTTGCCGCCACCACTGGACCCCAAGCCTCTCACCTGGCTCCGAGCGACCTTGAAGGGTGTGGCATTCACCATGTGCTGCCTGCGGATGCCACTCCATCTGGTCCGGTAGTCCACGATGTGGCACGGGGGGAGGACGTACTCGTCGTAAAGCACGTCTCCGTGGTAGCTGACGATGCTACATCGAGCCAAGGAACTGACGTGCCCCTTGGGTCCTGTGCCCACCATCTCACAGTCAATTGCCACCATTCTCCCCGGCGTCTTCGAGGACGCTCCGGAGCCTTTACCCTCTAAAGGAGATTGGCCGGAGTTCTGTGGGGCGTTTTTCTGAGCAGAGTTCTTTGGGGGGCCCTTCTTCTGGGGGCGAGCTGGGTGGCTCCTCGTCTTCGGAAGAGCGCTCTGGAACTCCCCCAGCAAATCTACTTTAGCCACCACCGAGGCAGCCTTCGGTGAAGGGGCGGGGGTCAGCCAGGGCACTGCAGCCTTCCTGTCCAGGGGCTGCTCTGGGCCACTGCTGGAGGCTGCCGTCTTCTTCTTTGGAAGGGGGGACACCTTCCAAGTGCCATCCGCCCCAGGGGTTTCTCCTTTCTTCGGAGGTTCTGAGTTCAACTTAGGCACCTTGCTAGTGTGCTGGTTCTTCTTATTCAGAAAGCCTCTCCGTTCCAAGAGCCGCCTCTTCTTGACAAATTTCCGGTGCTTGGCATTTCCCTCTAATACCTTTTTGGGGGGAGGCTCCCCAAAATCCAAATTGAGGAGTAAGGTAGACATGAGAGGGGTGGATGGCGGAAAAGCCGTTGGGAAGAGTGGCTTACTGATGACAGGAAGATAGAGGGCTCATCCTCTGCTGTATCCCACGGGCGGGCATCTGGGGTCTGTGACGCCCTGAGGAAGAGAGTAATCCTGACAAGGGAGCCCAGGGGCCCGGGAAGCTCTAAGAGCCATCTCCAGAGAACTTAAGGTTGGAAAGGTATCAGAGCGACCGCCCAGAAGGGGTACGAATCTGTAATGTGGAAAGGTGTCAGGGTCACGATCTGCGCCAGGAACCTCGGGGTCTAGCGCGGCCCCACAATTCACCAGCTGTAGGGTCTTGAGAAGGTCACTTCCCCTCCCCAGAGCTCAGTTCGGGAGGGGGCTCTAGGGCCAACCGGTTCGAACTCTGCGTCTGGGAAGCCAGAACAGGTACCATCCGCCCGCGAGGGCCCCTCGATTACCCACGCATCCGCGCGGAGCTCCCGCCGGGGGGACCCTCCACACACGTTTCACGCCTGTCCTCCCGACAAAGGCCCTCTGACAACACATACCCACTGGGTGAACGGAGGCTTGGGGCCGCCTACGTCGGCGAGCACGCCGGGGATCCCCGCCACCGAGAGCGACCCCCGCACCCACACCTACCTCCCCGCCGGGCCGGCTACGCGCGGAAGCGCCCGGAACCGGAGGCGGAAGTGGGCGCGCGCCGGCGAGGCCCAGGCCGACAGGCGCGCGGGTTGGACCGCGCCGGGGGCCGGCGTGCGCGCGCCCGCAGCGCCCCCGCCTCCGGGAGCGAGGCCAGGGACTCCGAGTGCGTGAGCAGCGGCAGCGGCGGCGGCGGGGGCGGCGGCGTGGGGGGCGGCGGGGGCGGGATGCGCTCCCCGGCCCCTCTAGCCCCGTGGAGGTACAACTCGAAGGTAGGGAGGTCGAGCCCCGGAGGAAGTGCCGCACGCAGTACCGCCCTCACTTCCGGGGGGGAGGGAAGTGCGCGGGGAAGGGCGCTCCTGGGCGCCGCGGCCCGCCTCTGTGACGCCGTGCGCGGCGCCCCGCCCCGCGCGTGCGCGCCGCCGCCACTTGTGACGTCACGGGACGCGTTCAGTCTTCCGCCCCAGCTGCAGGCCGGGGCAGCGGGAGCTGAGGGGTCCCCGCGGGGCACTGACCCTGGCTCCCCGCTCGGCGCGTTCTCGCCGTTGACGCCGCCCGCTGGACCCCGGGATGCCGGGCGTCTCCGCCCGCGGCCTCTCTCACGAGGAGAGGAGGCACCTGGCCGTGAACCTCACCCGCGTGCTGGCGCGCTACCGCCCCATCCTGGACGCCTACATCATCGTGAGGCCACAGGGGTGTGGGCGGGGTGCTCCCGGTTGTGCGGTTGGCTGGGTGCCCACGGCAGGGACAGAATCTGGAGAGGTGGCTTCTACTCTCTCTTTTTCTGGGGGTTCCAGTCTGTTGGCTGTACAAGAAAGGGTGAAAACTGGGGTTACACCCCCCCCGTTTTTCAGTTGACATACATATTAATATTTCTAGTATCTAGGTGGTTTTTCTAATTTTCCCAAGTTCAAAATAAAATGCATGGACAACGGAGCCACGCTGCAGCCACGTTGAGCTCCCCCGGGGACGTGTGAGGTGTCCCAGGAACCCACGTGTTCATTCGTCCGAGCTTGCAGAAAGTACTGGCTTAGCGGCCTAGTGAACAACTACAGCTTTGGAACCAGACCCGCTTGACTGCCTCCTTTACTGTGTTAGCCGTAGGCATTTTTAAGCAATTCCTGCCACCCGTTTCTCAGCTGTAATACGGATCCCTGTCTGAAGGAGCACTATGAAGAATGGCTGAGATGATGTATAAGTGGCCCCAGCCCCCAAGCTCAGAAGCCATTCTCGATTCAGCTCTTTCCTTCATGATCTTGAAAGCGTTCTGTTGGCTCTGCCTCCAGAATAGACACCAAATTCACCCTTTGTTTCCATCTCCATTGCTAACCTGGGCCGAGCCACCCTCATCTCTCTCCCGGACTACTTCCTAACTGATCTCCGTGTTCTCTTCCTCTCCATAACCACTTCTTCGCAAAGCAGCATGATCCCTGTGAACTGTGCATCTGGGGCTCCGGGGGCCGGGGGCGGGGGGGAAGGGGGTTGGGGCTCAGTCAGTTGAGTAGCCAACTCTTGATTTTGGCTCAGGTCATGATCTCACAGTAGGCGGGATGGGGCCCGGAGTCAGGCTCTGTGCTGATGGCACTGAACCTGTTTGGGAGTCTCTCTTCCTCCCTCTCTGTCCCTCCTCCCCCGGGGTTCACACTTGCAATCTCTCTAAAGATAAATTCTGAAAAAATGTAAATTTGGTCAGGGCGCCCGGCTCAGTCTGTAGAGTCTGCTACTCTTGATCTTGGAATAGTAAGGTTGAGTTAGGTGTCGAGTTTACTTAAAAAACATGTATCTGATGAAGACGCTGCCTTGCTTCCTAGGTGCTTTGATGAAATCTTAACTCCTTACCATTACCTAAAAAGTGCTACATGATCTGTCCCCTGCTGCCTCCTGAAGGCTGGCACATTCATCCTCTCCCACGTTGACTCCACTACACCGATGCTGGCCTGATTTCTGTTCTACAAATAATGGCAGGCATATGGGCCTTTGCACTTACTAGTCAGCCTAGAATGCTTTTCCTCCACAAGAAGGCAGAAGAAAAGAGTGATTAAGAGTAAGAACGCGAGGGGCACCTGGGTGGCTTAGTCGGTTAAGCGTCCGACTTTCGCTTAGGTCATGATCTCGCGGTTCGTGGGTTCGAGCCCCGCGTCGGGCTATGTGCTGACTGCCAGCTCAGAGCCTGGAGCCTGTTTCGGTCTGTGACTCCCTCTCTCTCTGACCCTCCCCTGCTCACGCTGTCTCTCTCTCCTAGAAATAAATAAAACATTTAAAAAAAATTTTAAAAAAAAAGAGTAAGAACGCGAGTCCAGTTGGTTTCAGATCCGACGTTTACCACTTAACTAGCTTTCTGACTTGGGCAAGTTCCTTAATTCTGTGTGTCAGCTTCCTTGTCTGTAAAATGACAAGTAAAAATAGTACTTATAGGGCTGTTTGAAGATTAAATGCATTAATACGTGGAAAATGTTTCGGACACTGCCTGGTATATTAAAATGTCTTACGAGTGTTTGCTATTATCGGAGTTTTTTTAATCGAGGTGTAAATTGGTCTGTAACGTATTGCGGGTATACCGTGGTTCTTTGACATTTGTGCGTGTTGCACAGTGATCACCACGGAAAGCGTAGTTAACACCCTTCACCTCTCAAGTTACATTTGTTGTGATGAGAACTTCTGAGGTCTGTTTGTCAACTTGCAATACGCAGTCCACCGTCGTTAGCTATGGTCACTTTGTTGTGCATCACGCCCCCGTGATTTATTTTATAACTGGAAGTTTGTACTTTTTGGCCCTCCTCACCCATTTCACAAGCTCCCCCGACCTCTGGCAGCCATGGCTCTTGCCTGGTCGTCATCCCCGTCTCGGCTCGAGTGCCAGCTCCCCAGACGAGCCTTTGGTCCGCCAGTCCTCTCTCAAGTGGCGCTCTCTCAGACTCCGTCGTGCTGCCATTTTCGTTAGTGTTTTCTTCTCTGTGTGGCGTTTGATGTTACCTGAAAGTATTCTTTTTATGTAAACTCTGTGAGAGCAAGAATCCTGTCTGTCTGCATCATTGTGTCCTCTGAGCCTAGACTCGAGCTTGGTGCATAAGCAAAGCTCCAGAATTTGTGTCAAACAAACAAATGAATAAAAACATTCTGGCATATGTCACATCTGGCATATAAAATGTGTGGTGCATATAATGGAAGATTACTTTTTAATGTTATTTATTTTTGTGAGGGAGAGAGAGAGAGAGAGAGAGAACACAAGCGGAGGAGGGGCGGGGGGGGGGGGATGGAAACAGAGGATCCAAAGCAGAGATGGGGCTTGAACTCACCAGCCATGGGATCATCATCTGAGCTGAAGTTCGGATGCTTAACCTGCTGAGCCACCCAGGTGCTTCGTGATAGATTTTTTTTTTTAAGTTTACTTTAAAAAATTTTTTTTAATGTTTTACTTATTTCTGAGAGAGACAGACAGTGTGAGCAGGGGAGGGAGAGAGAGAGACACAGAATCCAAAGCAGCTCCAGGCTCTGAGCCGTCAGCACAGAGCCTGACGCGGGGCTCGAACCCATGAACCGTGAGATCATGACTAGAGCTGAAGTTGGACGTTTAACCGACTGAGCCACCCAGACGCCCCAAGTTTATTATTTTTGAGAGAGCGCACAAGCAGGGGAGGGGCAGAGAGGATCCCAAGCAGGCGTCACGCTGTCAGCCCAGAGCTCCCGTGGCCTGAGATCATGACCTGAGCCAAAATTAACCGGCTGAGCCACCCAGGCGCCCCTGTAATAATGGTAGATTATCAAATGGCAATGCACTAAAACCACAGGCCAGTCACCGTGGTGTGCCCTTAAGTACAGTTGAGCAGAGAAAACGGACGCATCAGTGAGCAGGGGTGCTACTCCAGAGGGGTGTCCAGAATGCCCTTTGGGCTCTGGGGAGGGAGGGGAGGTGGGAGCAGGCTTCAGAGGAGTAGGGTGTACCTCTGGCTGCAGCCAGTGGCCTCCGCTGAGAGGGCTGGGCAAGGGCGGGGAGGCCGGGGCCTACGGATTGCCTCTCCCCTTCTGCAGGAGTTTTTCACAGACAACCTGTGGGGCACACTCCCTTGCTCGTGGCAGGAAGCGCTGGACGGACTGAACCCGCCACAGCTGGCCACGCAGCTGCTGGGGATGCCGGGGGAAGGCGAAGCGGTCAGGTACGGGCAAGGGGGGGGCCCGTGCTGGGGGGGCCGGGGGGCCAGTCTCTGTCAGCCGTTGCTCAGAGTCTCCCAGGGCTCCCTGGGTTGCAGGCTGGCACTGTGAGGTTGCAATGGAGCTATTCACTGGGGACCCGGGCTGGCCTGTCTCAGGTACAGGTCGGTGTGGCCCCTCACCCTGCTGGCCCTGAAGTCCACAGCCAGTGCCCTGGCCTTTACCCGGACACCTGGGTTTCAGACCCCCTCAGAGTTCCTGGAGAATCCCAGCCAGAGCTCCCGCCTAACAGCGCCGTTCCGGAAGCATGTCAGGCCCAAGAAGCAGCATGAGATCCGGAGGCTAGGAGAGGTGAGGTGGGGAGGGGGTGGTCAGGGGGTGTCTGGGAGGACCCCTCAGGCTGTGGGTGACCAGGATATGCGCGCTTGGCACGGCCCGCAGGGACCACCCTCGGTGGGCACGGGACAGCCCTGTCTCGGTGCCGGGTTTTGTGCGTTCGCCCTCGACGGGTTGGCAGGTGGCTGTGTCTGAATCGTGGTCTTCTGTCCACCTCCGCGGTCCGCCCAGGGCTTCCTGGCGGCGCTCTCCTTGTTCACGCCGAGAGGTGCAAGGAGAGGAGGCCGGGCCCGGTGTCCGTGCCTCTTGTCTTCCGGGGCACCCCTGCCCATCTCCCTCCGCCCCCGCTGGGGGTGTTTGCTCCGGGAGCCCCCACCCGGTGGCCAGGAGAGCTTTGTTCCCTCCTCTTGCAGTTGGTGAAGAAGCTGAGTGACCTCACAGGCTGCACCCAGGTCGTGGACATAGGCTCAGGCCAGGTGGGTCAGACCCCAAATGGTCTGGGTTTCGGGTCTGGGTGTTTGGATTTTTGATTTTTGAGCTGCGGGGATAGAGAGCTGGAGGCAGGTTATTGGGCCACGGGCCCAGGGCAGCAGGTGCGGGGAGGTGGTGGAAGTAGGCAGGTGCCCAGGCCGCTGCTTGGGGGGCTGACAGCGGAGAGGGCGCTGAACGGGGCTGTCTCCACCCTCCCTCTCGTGACCCCAGGGCCATCTCTCCCGGTTCATGTCCCTGGGGCTGGGGCTGGTGGTGAAGAGCATCGAAGGGGACCGGAGACTGGTGGAGAGGGCCCGGCGCCTGGACCGGGAGCTGCTGCAGGCCCTGGACAAAGAAGAGAAGAGGAACCCCCAGGTGGGCCCACTCTCTGCGCAGCCGGGGCCGCGGCACGAGGTCTGCCTGGCGGGAGCCGGGCACGGGGCCGGACTCCCTTGTCCCCGGGGTAGATGGCGTGATCCCCAGTTCTGCTGCCCCTTGGAGGGCCCCCCTCAGCCAAACCTCCTCACATTGTAAAGGCACTCCGTAGTCCCAAAGTGCTTTCCACGCAGACACATGCTGCTCACGGCCACCCGTGAGGCGACCCGTCGGGTGATCGTTAGGCTCGTGACAGGGGACGGCACGGGGACCCAGAGAGGAGGTTCACAGCTGATGGCAATGGGCCCAGAGTTCAGCCCAGCTCTCCACGCCCTCCCCCGCCCCGGCCTTCTCTCCCTCCTCGGGAAGGAGCGCAGAGGATGCTCCCTCCCTGTGGCTGGAGGTGGCCTGGGGATGGCAGACAGACTTCTCACCTGCCCCCACAGGTGACCCAGGCCAGCCCGCGCCGCTCCCCACACCACGTGGTTAGGTGGGTAGAGCCCACGGCCTTGTGCCCGGAGCTGCTGCTTCCACTGGAGACCCGGCCCGGGTGCGGGGCCCGCCTGCTGCTGACGGGCCTCCACGCCTGCGGGGACCTGAGCGTTGCCTTGCTGAGGCACTTCTCCTGCCCCGAAGTGGCGGCCCTGGCCTCGGTGGGCTGCTGCTACATGAAGTTGAGCGAGCCCGGCGGCTACCCACTGAGTCAGTGGGTGGCGGGGCTGCGGGGCTCCGAGCTGCCCTACAGGCTGCGGGAGGGCGCCTGCCACGCGCTGGAGGAGTACGCGGAGCGGCTGCGCAAGGCGGGCCCCAGCCTCCGCACCCACTGCTACCGCGCGGCGCTGGAGACAGTCATCCGGGCTGCCCGGCCCGAGCTTCGACGGCCAGGCGTGCAGGGGATCCCCAGGGTCCACGAGCTCAAGATCGAAGAGTGAGGCTGGGGCAGGTGGGGGTGGGCCCGGGCATCTCGGACTCCAGGTCTCCTGTCCCTCCCAGCCTCACTTGTTAGTGCGAACTAAAGGCCCACGGGGCGTCGGGTGCCTCAGTCAGGTAGGCGGCTGGCTCGGCATCAGCGCAGGTCATGATGTCAGTCGTGGGGCCAGAAGCCTGCTTGAGATGCTCTCCCTCTGCCTCTCCCCTGCTCACAGGCAAACTCCCCCCCCCTACTCTGTCTCTCTCAAAACAAACAAAAGATCCAAACTTGCCCAGGGTGTTGACTGTGAAGTCTGACTGGGCAGCTTCTCAGGATTTTAGAACAGAGTTGTCACTCTTTTGTCCAGGGACTGTCAAGTTTTTTAAGTGTTAAAAATACGGCCAGATTATTGTACAGATCTGGCTGGAAAGAAGTCTGGGGATCAGTCTGCTATTGGACAGGCAGACAGTTCCCGGCCAGGGCAACTTAAAGATGCGTGCCAGGGACACAAGTCAAGCAAAGCCGCCGTCGGGTCGAGAGCGTCCGGTCCGGGTGGGAGGTGGCGGCTCCTGAGGCCGAACTGAGCGCGGTCTGTGGCTGACCCCACAGATACGTGCAGCGGGGGCTGCAGCGGGCGGGGCTGGACCCCCAGCTGCCACTGGACCTGGCCGCCCTCCGGGCCCAGCAGGCCCAGGAGAACCGGGTGGTGGCCTTCTTCAGCCTGGCCCTGCTCCTGGCCCCGCTGGTGGAGACCCTGATCCTGCTGGACCGGCTGCTCTACCTTCAGGAGCAGGGTGAGGGGGGCCTGCGGGAAGGCCGCGGGGGGAGGGGCTCCTCCTCCAGGCCCCGCCCATCTCCCAGGCGGGGCTCTGTGGGGTGGGAGACCTGCCAGCGCGCATTCCCGCTCCATCAGGCCCCTATCTGGCTTGCATTTTAAGCGAGAACCACGGGGGGGGGGGGGGAGTCGGGGCCTTGCGCACCTCTATTCCCAGTAGAGAACCGTTATTCCCGGTAGAGAACCGGGTCTCCTGACACCCTCAGGCCTGCGGCTGCGCCCACAGGCCCGCCTGGGAGCGGCTGGGCGCCTCTCCCCGCCTGAGCAGCCCCGCCTTTCCTCCAGACTTCCACGCCGAGCTCCTGCCCATCTTCAGTCCTGAGCTCTCTCCCAGAAACCTGGTGCTGGTGGCCACCAAGAGGCCCCTGGGGGAGGCCTTCTCTCTTCTGGAAACTGAAGACAGCTGACCACCCCCGCCTAGAGCCCCCCGGATGCAGCCTGACCTCCTCGCCCAGGGGACCAGCCTCCTAGGTCCCTGGAACCCTGGCCTCTCCCTCCACGTGTTAACGTGATCCGGTGTACGACTTTAATTTATTAAATAAGCGAAATCTGTATTTCTCTGCCAGTTTGATTTCTCCGCCCCCAGCCCTACCAGCCTCCCCGACGGGCAGCAGCCCGTGACGCATGGGTCCCCCGGGCCTCGCAAGCCCTGCCCCCGTGGAGGCTGCCTAACTTCCACCCAGGCTGTCACACATAAGGACAGATGCCCCTTCCTGCAGTCCTGAGCGCAGGTGCGCAGGGGTCGGGGTCTAGCAGGCGGCGGCAGCTGCGTGGGGGGGAAACTCATGGCTCTTCCTGGTGTCTTGGAGAAGAGTGGCCCCGACCTTCGAGGCTGAGGCGAGGGGAACAGCCCCTGTCCCCAAGATCAGTACCAGTAAACTTTCTTGTGTCGCCGCGTCTCCTGAATCCCCATCGCCTCCATCACTTCCTCCTCCAGTGTCTTTAAACGGGGCACGTACGTTCTTTCTAGAGCGTCTTCCACTGATGTGTCTTTGGGGCCATCTATTGAGCCAGAGGAAGGAAGACGATGGGTGGGCAGTCCCCTCCCTCCCTCTCCTCCTCCCTGCCCCCCCCCACCCCTCGCCCAGCCTCACCTGTCCAGGTCTCAGGGACGATGCCGTCAGCTCTGGGAAACTCAGGTTTGGGGATAATTCTCCCCGATCTTGTGGAGACACGTACCCGCTCTCCAGCCTCTGTGAATCTCCACTCCACGTCGGTGGGCTTCCTGGTGGACAGAAGAGATGAGCCCAGCCTGGGAACCATGTCTTCCGGCTACATGCCCGCCCCCCTCCCCCTACCAGTCAATGGCTGAAGACATGAAGGTCGCCATCTTGTTGCTGCTCTGTCTACTGGGGGCTGACCCCCAGGGGATCAGGTCTATGAGACGGACGGCCCCTCTCCACCTCCAGAGCCTCCAACCCACCATTCCTTTCGCAGAACTGTGATCCGCACCTATGTGGACAAGCCCTCTGCCAGAGCCCCACGTGCTTGCCTGTCCACAGGATCCACAAGTTTGACCTGGCGGTGCAGCAGGGGTGCCTCGCTGGGGATCATGGTTCCCCGGGAATCCACGGTCTTGCCCACGTAGCGGTAGTGCTGTCCGAGAGAGGGGGCATGAGAACCAGGGGGTGTGAGAGGGGGCCTGCCCACCGCAGCTCAGAGCGTTCAGCCCAAGCTGGAGAACAGAACGTCAGCCGTCTCACTGTCCCTGCAGCTAGCTCCTGCCTCCCTACGCGCTGCAAATGCAGTGACAGAGGGGACGGGCTTCCCGAGCGCCCATCCTCACTCACCGTATTCAGTCCCTCCAGGACCACCCAGTTGCGCTGCCGGATGACTTGAACCACTTTGCCTTGCTTCCCAGCATCCTTGCCCTCTAGGACCTCCACCTGCAGGAAGACGTGAGGGTCAGGGAGGGGGATCCTCCCCAGGAGCCCCCCCCCCCCCACCTCCTCCAAGGCTCACCCTGTCCCCACAGAACAGATGCCACTCTTCATCCGAGATGGGCTCCACGGCCACCCGGCGTCTCCTGGTCCCCGGAGGGTTCTTCCTCTTGTCTGCGAGAGAGCCTGGGCGGCTCATCCCATAGCGGTAGTCGCGGGGCAGAGTGACCTTGGAGGCCAAGGCCAGCAGGGCAGAGAGACGCATGGCTGGAGGCCGTGAGAACTCTGCTGGCCAGGGAGGACCCAGGAACCTTCCTCGTCAGCCCTGAAGGAGACAGATGGAGACAAGCCGACAAAGAAGCAAGAGAAGGAGCACTTTCTAAACACTTAGGCCGTCACTAAAGGGATGTCCTCTCACTGAACCCTCACAGGATGCGACCTTCACCTTACGGATGAGGACACAGGCTCAGTGACTTGCCCGTGGTCATAAAACCAGTACGTGAGAGAACTGGCCTTCAAACCCACTTCAGAGTCCAAAAAGTTCATTGAGGCCGGAGACTGTGTGATCTCGTCACCCCTGGTCAAGCAGATCCGATCAGGGCTTGGTGCACGGCAGGTACTTAACAGTTACTGGACCAACCCAGGAACAGCAGGATAGGAAAACACAGGTAAATGGAACAAAAAAGAGACAGGGCCAAGGGGCAGGCAGGTACAAGGAAAAATAAACAGCAGAGATTAAATAGTGGTACTAAAATGTCCCTGCACCACTTAGAATTCCTCAACTCGGTCAGGAAATAACCACTCCTCCTCCCTAAGACAGATTCTTTCCTTTAAAAAAAATTTTTTTTAAGTATTTTATTTGTTTCTGAGAGAGAGAGAGAGAGAGAGAGAGACAGCATGAGCAGGGGAGGGTCAGAGAGAGAGGGAGACACAGAATCCGAAGCAGGCTCCAGGCTCTGAGCTGTCAGCACAGAGCCCGACACGGGGCTCGAACCCACAAACCGTGAGATCATGACCTGAGCCGAAGTCAGATGTTTAACCGACTGAGCCCCCCAGGTGCCCCAGACAGATTCTTTTCTAAGGGGAAAGGCTCCAGAGGCAGACTTTAGGATTACCAAGTCCTACATTTCCCAAGTAAGGATAGACTGTAAGCCTTCCAATTCTGGATGATGGACTGAATTAGACGGGGTGGTGAGAAAATGGAGGCCAAAGACAGTTAAGTGCCTCAAATTTTTTTTTTTCCCGAGAGAGCAAGCCAGGGAGAGGGGCCGAGGGGGAGGGAATCCCCACACTCAGCACAGAGCCCGATGCGGGGGCTCGATCCCAGGGCTCTGGAGTCTAACTTCAAAGTACAAATGAAGTGCACTCTAAGGGCATAAAAAGCTGTGGGTTTCTAGCCCTTGGTCCACCACTTCCTCTGGGATCCAAGGCGACCTAACTTAGAAGCTCGCGTCCTCATCCTTAGAACTTTACAGGGTTGTTGGGGTCGTTCAAACTAACGTTTCATGTTTTAACAAAAAGTACAGAATAATGCGAATAGCATCGTGCCTTTTGGGCAAATTAAAAAACATATATCCTGGCACAGGTTTACATCTGCGAAGGCAACAGGAACCAGCTCAAGTACTTGTCTGAAGCAAGGGAGCGGTTTGGAGCAAGTACTTGTTTGGAGCAAGTACTTGTTGGGAGAAAGCAGTTACTGTTCATCTTGTTCCTTTCCCACAATCTCTGTTGACATTTTCCAACTATGCGCACTGGGGGGAGAAACCTGGTTTATCTGAACCGTCCGGGTTTTTCTTCTTTACACTTCTCAGTATGAAAAAGAACGTGCCTAATGTCATCTTCAGTTAACGATGGCCTCAATGTCCCCGTGCAGACTCAACAAATGCTTAGGACATAGTGACAGGCACAGTGCGAGAAGCCTCACGCTTAACCGGCGTCTGACCTTCCCGCCGCCCGTACCCCACGGCTCGTTCCCCAGACGAGGAGAGCGGGCGCTGGGGGCTGCGGGGCCTGCGCTGGTTCGCAGCTGCGCGGGAGCAGGGCCAGCGTTCGGCCCCAGGACGCCAGCGGGATCGCGGCAAAGGGCCAGGCAGCGGCCACTCGAGGTCTGCAGCCCCGGGAGGTGACCCCCAGAGGCCAGCCCTTGGGCCCTGCGCTCCTCTCCCGCACACCTGCAGGGGCTGTCCCCGGGGGGCTTCTAGCAGTCTTCCCCACCCACCCGCTCCAAGCAGTCGGAGCAGAGAAATCCCGGGCGAGCCCAGGGCGGCCACCGCCACCGGGCACTCGCCGCTCACCTCCGCTTCCCGCCGCGCCGCCGCGTCCGCACATGCGCCCTCCGCCCCCGTCCCTCGGCTTCCTGGGAAATGTAGTCTGAGTGCAGAGCGGACGCTCAAACCAACCTCGCTCTGAAAGCTGGAAGCTGTAGTCCACCGCTACGGAGCGAGCCGGAAACAGGAAATTTGGTCGAGGAGGAGGAAATCAAGGAAGGAAATGAAGGCACACCGAGAGGCATGTCGGGAGTTGAAGGCAGGGCATGATAGGCCGCGGCGCTCGGCGCGTCCCTGCACACGCTCGGCGTGGAGGCCGCTGGGAATCGTAGTTCTCAGAGCGGAGGGCTCCATTTTCTAGGGCATTGTGGCTTCTTGTTCGAAGCAGAGGGCTTCCCTTCCTAGGCTGGGCGGCGGCCAGTGCTCTGCCCGAGCGCCCGTGGGCAGGGGGGGCCAGGGCACATTAAGAAACTGTCTTAGGTCTTCTGCAGAAAGGGATGACACGTGGGCCCTTCCAATGCCGGTCGATGAGCTAGTCACAAAATGTCAGCTGTGGGAGGATCCTGGGATGACCCGGTCCAGCCGCCACGCGCACCTCGGGGTAGCAGGCCGTTCCACGCTACCGGCCCCCCCGCCCCGGCCCTTCCCCACCAGCGGAGGGTGGCCGGCATCCCCGGCTCAGCAACACAGCAGCCCCTCCCCTCCCACGGCCGCCAGGGGCTGCGGTCGGATGGGCAGCAGGCACACGGCACTCCTGCAGGCCTTGAAGGCTTCCCGGGTGGCAGAGGGGCGGACAGCGTTCAGCAGCTGGGCGCAGAACGTCGCAGCTCGTTCCTGGGTCTTTGCCTTCCTGTGTGGCAGCCTGAGAATGGAGGCTGGCACCGCCTCCTCCGTCTGGGAAGGCGGCCTGGCATCGGCCTGCATTCCCTTTCCCCGTCCCACCCCTCCAGTTAACCAACACCCCCTGCCGCCCACCCACAGAAATCAGCCAAGATCCAATGTAGTAATCAACGGGTTTTATTTTCCTAGAACTGAAATCGTCTACGGTTCTCAGAGCTAAAGTCCCAAAGCTACAGTCAGCAATTTTTCATCAGAGCCCGAGGGAGAGGGGGGAGACAGGAGAAGGGAGAGAGGCCGCTGCGGAGGCTGGGCAAGGGCACCTACTCCCCTGTCCTCCCAGTGGGCTTCGGATCTGGTGACAACGCTGAGGAGACCAGGTGAGGGACGTGATGGGAACGGACACCAGAAGGAACACCAAAGCCCCAGCTACGAAAAGAAAAGTCATCAAACCCCAATAGACGGGGAGCCTCCCAGTGCACCTCAGAAACGGGGGCAAGAGAGGGGAAGGAGCGGGGAGGGGGTGGCACACAAAGGGATGGGGGGGGCTTTAAAATTTTTTTTGTTAATTTTCTTTTATTAAAAACATTTCCTAAAAAATGTGTCTTTTCCTTTATGTCTGGGTGACACACGTGACTGTAGGCTGGCCTTGAGCACTGTGGGGAGAGGGAGAGGAGGGTGGGGGTCTCCCCAGGGCACCCCATCTCTGGCCAGAGACCCGAGGCGGGCAGATGCTCAACACTGCCACCCTAGCCGGGTGAAGCCAACCCTCCGGGTCTCAGGTCCTTGGCCCAAACAACTCGGAGGCCCCCAGAGCATCTGAGGATCAACTACAACTCCCAGAACTCCGGGGGGCCAAAGGAAGAATAGATGTTGTCAATCATCAAGGGTTTATGGAAGAGAGCCCCCCCCCCCCCGGCTGTCCCACTTTCCCTGAATCTAGGTGACTGAGAGGACAGGTCCGGGAAAAAGGGACAGGAACTTGAGACGATGCCATCTTCCTGCCCGCCCCCGACCCCAACTTGAAGATCGCCCTTCTCAGGCCCAGGAGCCTACCCTGCTGTTTACTCTCCATCCCTTCCAGTCTCCCCCCCCCCCCCCATGCCAGCTAATCCAGAGGTCCAGAATGCTGGGGCTGGGGGGGTGGGGCAGAGAAGAGGTGTCAGGAGGTGGAAACACAACTCCAGACCCCAAGAGATACCCTGGGAAACAGCTCCCAACAGGGAGGGACACAGTGGCCTCATCGCAGCCCACAAAGCAGAAGGCATGGCCCTGACTCAGATCGCAGGGGTGTGGGGATCTGGAGGTGAGGGCCAGGTGGCCTGCCCCGTCCAGGTCAATCTCCAGGGGCTGGGCTTGGAGTGGGGAGAGTAAGTGGCAGAGGAGAGCGGGGTGGGGTTCCCAGTTTGCAGGCCATGGCCAGTTTCCCCAGTAGCACCCAGACAGCAGCAGGATTGGGGCAGGGGCTCCTCTTGAAACATTGGTGGCTACAGGCTGCGGGGTGAGGGTTGGAGGAGAGAAGGGTTATAGGTGTGGCCTTGGGCCGGCCGCACCCCAGCACCCCAGCACCCCAGCCAGCGTCAATGTCCTGGGAGAGCCCACCCTGCCTGCCTCGGTGGCAGGCCCCCTGCCCCGGTGGCTGGCCGCCCCCCAGGCCCGGCTGCCTCAGGCAGGGGGCTCCCTCACCTCTCACGATCTCTGACGCCTGGGGCCTCAGCATCTTCCTTGGCAGCCTCTTCCTCCTCTAACTCCTCATCTTCCTCCTGAGGAAGCCCCCGGCCAGAGCCGGGCTCAGAGGGGGTGCTGTTCTTCTCCACCTCTGCAGGGGGGGGCCTCTCAGCCTCCAAGGGGGCTACTTCCTTCTCCTCCCCTTCGGGGTCTTCTGTCTCCTTGGGACGTTTTGGGGAGTCCTAGGTAGGATCAGCAGAAACGAGGCAGGCTGAGGCCAAAGGGGGGGTGCCAGTCACCTACCTGTGTCCCCCCTTCTACAGAGGCTCCCTCCTGGATGTACCTGCAACCCCCTCCCCAGCCCCCTGCCGCTGAAGCATCTCCTGTGCCCAAGCTGCTTGGCAAGAGACCCCCAGGCCAGGGGCCGGTCCATCCCAGATCACAGGGCCTCTGGAGTGGCAGCTGGCTTCCTGGGGCCCCTGGCGGGGTTTGCTTACCTCCAGCAGGTCCCCTGCTCTCCTCTTCAGCGCCCCCTTCTCGTTCTTCTCCTTGGCCGGCTCGTCGATGACCAGCTTCCCTTCCTCGTCGCTGCTGCCCTCTGCACTGCCCTTCTTGTCGCCGTCCCCCTCCGTGGGCTCGGGCTCGGCCTCGGGCTCGTCCACAGAGCTCTTCTTCGGGGCGGACTGTGCGCAGAGACAGCAGAGGCTGAGTGGCACCCGCGTGGCCTGCGGGGTGCCCCTCCCCAGACCCGCCCTCGGCCACTCACTCCTTCCTTCTCCCACCTCGCCCCCGCCCCCCCCCAGGTGCCCAGTCTCACGAGTGATTTGAGACCCACCTCTGTCGGATTAGCCCCGGGCTAAACCCACTGGCCGGGCAGGCAGGGCTCTGTGCAGGAGGGGGGAGGGCTGGAGCAGGAGGCAAAACCTCGGGTCAACTTCTCCCAAAGGGAGCTGGGACCCTTTCCCCGCCAACCCCCGCCCCCCACCCTCCCGCCTCATCCTGCCCGGCTCACGAGCACCTCCTCCGGGAAGCCTTCGTGGAAAGAGTTAAGGCCAAGCCCTACGCTCATGCTGGGCCCCGTAGAGGACTGTCCCCACTTACCGCCTCTGGTCTGTCCTTGCCCCCCAGGCCACTGTCTAGCAGCACAACGATACTGCACGCCCCCCAACCCCAGCCCCGCCTGCAGGGCCTCCCCCACCCCCACCCCAGGAGCGTCTCCCCTTGAGAGCCCTGGTTTCTCAGGCCTGAAGGCTAAGCGTCCCGTGTGTGCCCGGGGGTCCCCCCGGGGTCCCGAGTGAGCCGGTGGCCGCACCTGCTTTCCAGGGGGTCTTTGGGGCCGATGGCTGCTCACCTGGTAGCCCGAGGCCTTGACAGTAGGATTGTTCTCGATCTCCCACAGCCCCTCGCTGAACCCTTTCCTCTTGTTGGGCTTGCCAAACTTCTCCTTGGACTCCTCGTAAGGGAAGAGGTCTTTGGGGCCCAGGAATGCCCTGGGGAGAGACGGGAGACTGTGCTCTGGAGCCCTCCCTGCCTGAGCTGCGTGGCCCACGGGGAAGGGGCGCCCGCATCGGTTTGCCCACAGCCCTCCCCACCTCTGGCCCCTCACTCACGTCTCATGGGTCCCAAAAAAAAAGACTTGGTACTTGTTGGCTGTCGACTTCACGGCGGCCTCAGGCATCTCGTCAATCTGGGAGTAAGAAAAGGGAAGTGAGTGCGCACGGAGTCCTAGGGTCACGAATTCAGGGCCGAGGTGCCTCCAGGATGCATCTGTGCAAAACCCGACTGAGGGGCCTAAAGGCACTGGGGTGGTACCTGAACCCTTTTCAGCAGTGGAACTTTGTTCTAAGTCAGACGGGAGGCCCAGCGGAAACCTGGGCTCGGCCCCGCTCCTCAAGCCAGACGGCACCGTCCTGCCTGCCCACGAGCCCACGTCACCACCAGCACCTGGCCCACCCGCCGTCACCTCCCCCCCCGGGCTCTCAGCCTCCTCTCACTGGACCACAGCCCATCTACGACGCACAGGCCCCACGGCAGCCAGAGTCAGCCCTCCGAGTGCTCGAGCACCTTCCCACGTCTGCTCGTGACCCGAGAGACCCTGTCCACCTCTTCTCCCACCAAGGTCTGACTCCCAGGGCCGCCGCCAGTACCTGTGTGACCTTGGGAACTGTACTGAACTGCCCTCTACCTCAGTTTCCTCGTCTGTAAATGGAGAGGGTCCCAAAACTTGGACCACGGGGTCGGCAGGATTAAACGGCCATAACTTCGCCTGTGGAGTAAGGCCAAGGACCTGCCTATTCAATACCCCCCACAGGGCGCAACCCCAAAAGCTTCTGGAGAACCCTCTGAAAAATCTGTTGATAGGAGTCAGACTCTCTCAATTTACAGATAAGGAAACTGAGCCCCCCCACCCCCCCGCCGGCCAATGACATAAGTCAGTGAGGGTCTCGGAGCTGGTCCTGACTTGAACCCTGCCCCCCACGTCCTGGGGGCACGAGAAGGGTAAGGCGCAGAGGTACCCGTCAGGGAAATGCACAAGCAGGGGCCCCAACGGCCTCCCCAGATCAGGCCTTGGGGGGCGGGGCCAAGCGGAGCTGGGGTCGGGGGACTACAACTCCCAGCAACACTTGCAGCAGCTGCCTGGCTTCCCGCCGGACATGGGCCAGGTGGCCATGTTGACTGGGGCCCCAGGCGCAGATAGGGCAGAGACAGACAACCCGAGGCATCGATTACCACCAGGACTGGGACACGGTGTCTGACCTGGGGGCCTGGGGACACAGGGAGGCTGGGTGGTTGAGAAGGCGCAGGGACACACCTAGGAGACGCGGTGGACCTGGGCACGGATCTGAGGGCATCTTGCTCCAGGCCTGGAGTCTTCAGGTTCCTGGGCACCTCCCCCCTCGCCCTGTGGCCTCTGGGGACAGAAGTCCAGCCCCTCCCCCCAGGAAAGGCGAGCACCAACTGGGCCCTCCCCATGACCAGGAGCTTGGGGTGTGATAGCAGGGGGTGGAAAGGCACGAGGTTCCCCCCACAAACAAGATCCCCATCGCCATGACAACCCACCCCGCCCCCGCGGCCACTCAGCAACCAGGAATGTGACCACCCCTCCCCCTCCGGATTGGGGAGGAGGGGACACTCACACACCCCACCTCCCGAGCCTGGAGTCTGGCACCTGGGTCCCTGGCTGCGCTGGAAACCGCAGCCAGCGCTGGAGGGCCCAGGCCCTTCTCAGGAAGCCAGGCCCAGGGTGCGGGCGGAGGAGGAGCCAGGCCTCAGCGGGACACCTGGGTCTTGTGACCAGCTGGCTCCCCACCCTCTGCTCAGAGGGGGGCAAGCGAAAAACAAAATGAGAGTCTCCAGGGCTTAGAGGTCCCAGGAGACACACATGCGTGACAATAGCAGAAACCCTTCCCCAGGCCTCTTCTCCACAGCTCTCGACCCCAGAAACCAGGGCAGGGGTGGGGGACTAAGGTGCCTTGCTGGGGGCGCGACAGGGCGCCTCCCGCTCTGGGCTCACACCTGAGCCTGCGCCTCAACGCGCTCATGGGGTGAAAGGGAAGAAACTGAGGCTCAGGAGAGGGGGTGGGGTGAAGGAAGGGTCAGACAGGAGGGGACGGGAAGCTCTCTCTGGGAGCACAGCCCTCCAAGGGCTGCTCTGCAGGGCTTTCCCATGTAAAGTGAACTCACAGGCAGCTGAACGGTGTGACAGGGGACCCAGGGGGCCACCAGCTGCCCAGCCTCAGGGGCGGAGGAGAAACAAAAGAATGGATGAGAATTAAAAATAGTATGACACGCCAGACCTGCTGACTTCTAGCCAAATAAAGGGGGGTCTGGAGGAAAGAGGGAAGCCAGGGGTCCGGGCACATGGGCACCGGCCCCAAGAGGGTCACCCTGCTCCCTGCCTCGCCTGGGCCGTGGGCACCTGTGGGGGAAGGGCCAGGACAGGTCGGTAGGCTGTTTGCACTCAGTCAAATTCCTAACCCCTCACCTCAAACGGGAAAAGTCCCTTCCATCCTTCAAGCTACAAAGGAAACCTGGTTTCTCGCATTTGGAAGCAAAGGGCAGTTCTTCCTCCGTATGGAGGACGTGAGGTCTCAGGGGAGCCCTGTATCCCCAACACAGGCCTGTGTCTCCCAGGCGGGGCCTTTATATCCAGGCTGTGACTCACAACAAGTGAGTCAAGGATAAGTGGGTCAGGGTGGGGCCAGATCAGGGCCAGGGACCCCACTGCGCCCACTGCCAACAGGGGAGGGGGCTCTGCTACTTCGCAGCCATTCCGGGAACTCAGGCAAGTGAATCCTCCCAGGCAGGGCCCATCCACTCCAGGCACGACCCTCTGCATCTGCCTGGCTCCAGCAGACCTGAGCACATGAAAGGCTGTCCCCCCCCCCCCCCCAACAGAGCTCCAGCCACCCTCTGAAGCCTCATGAGGGAACCCAGGTGAGGAATGGGGGAGGGGACTGAACCCATGGGGGAGGGGACAGCGGGAAGGCTAAGCCCACGCTGAGTGCCAGCCAGGGTTCTGACCACCACACCCAGAGCCAAGCCCGGCCTGACCCAGGAACCGGAAAATCTGGGGCAGGAGACAGTTGGGGCCGGGAAAGTGTGGCAAGCCCAAGAGGCAGAAAAGAGAAGGTGGTGCCTGGCCGTGGGGGAGGGAGGAAAACTGGGTGAGGCCCTCTGGCTGCTCAGGTTTTCTGGGATTGTGAAACAGGAAGCAGAGAGAGGAGGAAGGAACCTGGGGGGGGGGAGATCCCTGAGCCTTGAAGTGCTTGGAGATCCCCCCTCACCCCAACGCACCCCCGCCCAAGAAGTCAGGCTGAAGGAAGAGGGGAGGGAGACGATTAAGACGAGTCCCACTACAATCCAGACAGGTCTGGCCTAACCACGTGGCCCCTCTGGCTGTGCTCTCCAGTCTCCCCCACAGTCAGCCATCCTCCCCGGAAGCGGGGGCTGAGGAAGGAAAATCCACTCAGCTGAGGAAGGAAAATCCACTCAGCGGCCTTCACCTGGCTGTCCACGAGGCCCCCCGACTCCTTGCCGGGAGAGGCCAGACCCCGTCCCTCTGCCACCCTAGGGGCTAAGACAGCATCTGCGCCTGGTGAGGAGGCCCAGATGTGTCTGCTCTTTCCACATCCCAGGGGGATCTATGTGGGAGATAAGAGCCTTGGGTACACTGATCCCCAGATGTCACAACCGGAAGCTGGAGCCGGGCAGAGGGTGGCGCCCTCCCTATCTCCTGGAGATCCAGTCTGACCTCCCCTTCCCAAGCCTCACTCTATCTAAAAGGTCCAGGCCTCAACAAGAAGACACTGCCCCTTGGTCCCGCCCTTCAAAACTAAATAGCATCCCCAGTCCCAGGTGCGGCCTCACCCTAAAGGCCACCAGAAACCAGAAGGTCTACCTCCCAGGGGCCAACGTGGGCCCGTCTGTGTCCCCCTCCCTGTTTTCTCTTCCCTGATCCGGAAAGAGTCCCCTGCAACCCACATTCCACCTGCACCCCCTCCCTGGGGCCTGGCCCAGCCTCTGGACTTTGTCCCACCCCCAGGAGGCAGGAGGCGTAGAGACATGGGTTCAGTTCTTGCCCTGCCCAACAGGGCCTTGGCATCTGGGCCAAGAAGCCAGATGGTTCAAAGGTGCAGGGTAAAGTACGCAAGTGTTCACACGTCACATACCCCAAAATACACACAAGACTGTCTGGCTGCTTCCTCACAGAGCCCCCCCCCCCCCCCCCCCCCCCGCCACCCAACCCCCGGCCCAGGTGCTTAGGAGGCCCCGGAAGCTAAGAGACCCCCTGGATTCCACTCCAGAGGCCGGACACCTAGAAGTTTCAGGGAACAAGGAGCTCAAAACACACGGGATTAAGCACACTCCTCGGGAGCGAGTACGGGGTGAGGAAGGTGCTCCTCGGTTTTCTGAGTGGCCCCAAAGTTGGCCTGGCCGCCTGAACAGGACCCAGGTGGAGCCTGGGGCAACTTCCCAGGCTCCGGGCAGGGTCAGGTCCAGATAAAGACACACACACTCACGTGGATGACGGTAACCTAAAGCCTTGAGGCAGTTCGGCACCTGGCCCCCTCGCCCGGAAAGCTCCCTCCACCCACTGCTCCGGGCCCTATTTCACTCCCCAGAGTCCTACCTCCAGGGGACGGAGTCACGCCTGCACCCAATTCCTAAGGCCTCTGCAGCCCCACTTGGAAGCTGCCAGAGGCACTGCCCCCTGTGACACCCCCAAACTCCTCCAGCAACCTCCCCTCCCTCCATCCCTCCTAGAGCTCTCCCAGTCCTTCGCGGAAACCTGAGGAACACACCAGGTTCCTCCCCCTGAGCCCCACCCTCCCACCTGGCCAGGTGCTGGGGGGCGGGGGGGGGGCAGGCCCTCAAGTTGGCGGGCTCAGCGAACCACATGGCACACTGGGCCGTTGTGGCGGGAGGCTGCTATCTAAGGGGAGAAGCAGCTGGGGCTCCCCCCACCTCCAGGAACGGGCAGCCTGGACTGGACCTGCCGGCCTCCCAGGGGCCCTGCCACCCTCGGCCCCCAGTTGGAACTGGCAGCCGACGGGGGGCTATTTTTGCGGGGCTGAGCAGCGAAGGGCTCTGGCGACTAATTTCCGAGCCAAGTAGATCCCCTCTTACGCCGCCCCCAAACATTCCTCGACCCTCCCAACTTCAGACCTCTCGCGGCCGCCCCAAACCAAAGTTTTCCTGGAGGGAACTCCGCGTCCGCAGATCCCTCCCCGGGCTGGGACCCTCCTGCTACCTTTTGGGTCCAAGCAGGGTCTGAGCGGGGGCAGCGATCGGGGAGGGCAGCGGGGGTCTCTAAGGGGGTCCCGGGGCGCCCGGGAGGGGTTCCCGACGGCCCCAGCACAGGCCGCGCGCCCCAAGCCGCCGCGCTCAGGAAGGGGGGGGGGCCGCGCGGACGGCGCGCTCGCCGGGGCCCCCACCCCCACCATTATGTAACCGGCGGGGGGCGAGCAGGCGCTCGCAGCGAGCCGGGGACTCGGCCGCCCCCCGCCCGCGCCCCTCAGCGCGCGGCGCCCGCGTCCTCCCGGCTGTTACGCAACCCAGCCCGGGGCCGGGGCGGCGGGCCGCGCTGCTCACCCGGGCCGGCCAGTGCGGGTAGCCCTTCATCTTGGCGAACACCAGGTCCCCGCACTTGTACTCCTTCTGCCGGTTGGAGCGCGACATGGCGGGGCTCCGGGCGCCCCGGGCTCCGCGCCGCGCCGGCGAGCGTGAGCCCAAGTTTGCGCGCGCGGCGGTGGCGGCGCCGCTGCGCTCCGGCCCTCGCGCGGCCCCCGCCTCGATGGCGGCCCCCGGCCCCAGCTCCGGCGCGGCCACGGCTGTGCGCCCGCGCCGCTCGGACGGGGCGGGCGCGGATGCGGCGGCGCGGTGCTGCGCGCTCGTGCGGTTGTTTGTGTTTGAAATTCAATTGCTCCCTCCTCGGCGCGAGGCCTCTTCCTCCTCCCCCGCCGGCCCCCTCCCCCTCCTCCCCCGCTCCCCTCCCCCTCCCGCGCCGGTTCGATGCGCGCGGCGCTCGGCGCCCCGGGCCTGCCGCGGCCCGACGCCCAACCCGGGGCCGCCCGGCGGCGCGCGGCGGCACAGGCCTGAGGAGCCGAGCGCCGAGCTCGCCGAGCGGGCTTTGTGTGCAGCTGTCGGGGGGCGCCCGCCCGCACGCCGGCCGGGAGGAGCTGGCGCCCGGCTGGACGGAGCGGCCTGGCGCCCCTCCCCGGGCCCTGGGGGCGCTCGCTCGCGGGTCCCGACGCGGCCGCGGGTGCCCGTGTGGGCGCGGGGTCCCCCTGCCCCGCGCCCTTCGTGCGCGCCGGCCGCCGACGTGCGGATCGCCGGGGGTCCGAACGGCGGGGTGGGCGCCCGGTGGCGGCCTCGGCCGAGGGGCGAGGCTCGAGTTTGGAAGCCGGGAGGTGTCCGAGGGCTTGGGGCACGAAGCGGCCACGTTCCGGGTGCTGCTTCCTGGCAAAAGTGATCTGGGCTCCGCCGCCAGCTCAGCCCGCAGAGATGAGCGCTGTGCTCGCGGGGAAGAGACCCGTACGATGCCAGCAAATCCCAAACCGCCAGTAAACCACGCCTGAAACTTGGGGAGCCGGGCACTACTTCTCTAGGGAGGTGGGACTGGGGAAGAGTCTGGGAGGCCAAGGCTCAAAGAGGGATTTTGCTGGACGCCAGAGACGACACCGTAGCCCAGGTCCTGTGTTCACAAGTGGTAGAATCAACCCTTGAGCTCCGGTCTCTCCCCATTAAGCCAAACAGGACGTACTGCAAGTACTTCTTCGATTTGCTCTCACTGCCGATCTTGGATGTGCTCATATCCAGACACCTGTGGTCTCGGAAATAAGCTATTTGGGTCTCGTCCGGCACTTCCAGATCCTTAACGTCTTGCAACTAGATAGTCTGGATTTGAATAAGTAATGCTTTTCTTCCCACAAGTTTCCTGATCGGAAAAGCGTTTGCAAAATCTCCCTGCAGGGAGGCACAGAATGCCCAGGTCCACATGCGGTCCTCCTGAGAACCTGGACCCCTTCCTTGCCCTTTCCTGAGTCAGTTTCCTCAACTGTAAGATGGGGTAACCTTGCTGCCCTGCCAACGTCTGAGGCATGGGGTGGCTACTTACCAGTCATTACCCAGGGCCTGCATCTGTTCCCTAACGTCCTTCCTATCAGCGGGCTGTCCCTACACACCGTGTCCTTACGGCAGTGCGTTTTACAAGTTTTGCCTTTATAACAGTGTGGCCTCAGCAGAATTCCCCCTTGGGGTAGGAGTCCCTCGGGCCGGCCCCGGCCTCAGGCGCTGCTGGCACAGAGGGCCACTCCTGTCGCAATAAAAGAGCCACGCATGACCTCAGCCTCGTACTTGTCGATTTGTTTCAATAGCAAATCCAAACTTGTTGCAAACAGAGCAGCCAGATTCCAGTTGGTGTTTACTCTGCGAAGCATATTCTGGTTTGAATGTTGTCAGAGCAATAGTTCACATTCTGTCAGGCGCATGCTTTCATTTGTTCTTAATTGTCGTTAGCCCAGAGTCTCGTCACAAATTTTTGAAGATGTTTCAGGAAAGGCCTGTGTCACCATAGGCATCCTGAAGTGTGCAGGCCCATGGTGAAAAACGCACAGAATTTCTGGGCATCAAGCATGTTTTAAACTGTTCCCGGTGCAGTGCACCCCAGTTCGGTTAAGACCGAGGGCTCTATCCATTTCTCCACTTTGTCGCATTAAAAAAATTTTTTTTAATGTTTTTTATTTATTTCTAGGATAGAGAGAGAGAGACAGCGTGAGCAGGGGAGGGTCAGAGAGAGAGGGAGTCACAGACTGAAACAGGCTCCAGGCTCTGAGCTGGCAGTCAGCACAGAGCCCGACGCGGGGCTCGAACCCACGAACTGCGAAATCATGACCTAAGCGAAAGTCGGACACTTAACTGACTAAGCCACCCAGGCGCCCCTAAAAAATTTTTTTTAATAGTTTATTTTACTTTTGAGACAGAGAGAGACAGCATGAGGGGGGAGGGGCAGAGAGAGGGAGACACAGAATCCGAAGCAGGCTCCAGGCTCTGAGCTGTCAGCACAGAGCCAGACACGGGGCTCGAACCCACAAACCGTGAAATCTGACCTGAGCCAAAGTTGTACACTTAACTGACTGAGCCACCCAGGCGCCCCTACTTTGTCACATCTTAATAAACTATTTGGAGGTGGCCGTGCGGCTTCAGAATTCTCCGGCAGATCTCTTGGGCCCGTCATGGAGCCCGTCATGCAGATGCTGGTTGAAAGGAAGAAACCAGGGCTCCCTTTGTTGCCCTGAGCTCCCAGGCCTTGGTTGCAATTTAATATCCCAATTTCTCCTTACAATAACACCCTAGCCACCTCACAGCTGGCACTGACAATGAGCCAGAGAGCTGCAGAGGGTCAGTTACACGGGTGGCCAGGCATAAGCCGCCTTCCCCTGGGAGGCAGGCCTAACTTCCTGCTCTGCAGACTTTAATGTGCAAACGAATCATTTGGGAATTCTCTTCAAAAGCGGATTCTCCCTTGGCAGGTTTGGGGTTGTTGCAGGTGGATCACTATTCCAGGGGTAGGACCTAAAATGCACAGGTCACAGGCGCCCAGGTGCCCGGCCCAGCTTGGAGCCGATTCACAAATGTCTTAGTGAAATCCTTCTGCTGACGCCGGTGCCTGGTTCACACTTTTGTGTGAGACAGAAGTCAGGACCGAAGTCAGGGGACTTGGGGCCCCACAGCAGAGAAGCCTGGGGGTCCAGAGCAGGCTCTAGGGTTCCGAAGCAAGCCTCTGGACCTTGTTAGGTCAGGGGAGTGGCGGGGGACTTAGGGCCCACATCAGGAAGGAGGAGTTAACACCGCAGCTTGGAGGGACCCAGGGGCGAGGTGGCGTGTGCTCGGTGCTGGGGGAGTGGGCGGTGTGGTCCAGTGGAAACAATCTACGTCTGCGTGTCAAGGAACTGGTTTGAATCTTGCTTGTGGCAAATGGGCTCAGACAGAATTTCTAAGCAAGATTTTCTTACACTGTAAAAATGTGAAACAAATGGGGGCGCCTGGGTGGCTCTGTCGGTGAAGTGTCCCATTTCAGCTCAGGTCATGATCTCACGGTTCGTGGGTTCGAGCCCCACGTCGGGCTCTGTGCTGACAGCTCGGAGCCTGGAGCCTGCTTCGGATTCTGTGTCTCGCTCTCTCTCTCTGCCCCTCCCCCACTCATGCTCTGTTTCTGTCTCAATAATAAGTAAACATAAAAAAATTTTAAGTAAATAAACATTAAAATTTTTTTAAAAGAGGGCTCTGTTTTACAAAAAGTAAAAATCACTGTATTCGTTCTCTAGGACTATGCTGTCCAATATATTGGCCTATTGTAACTTAAATTATTTAATATTAAACACAATTAAATACTCAGCTCCGCTGTCATTCAAACCACGTTTCAAGTGCTTGATAGCCTCACGTGGCTGGTGGCCACGTATCAGACAGCACAGACGTGGGACATTTCTGTTATCACAGACGGTTTGCTCGGATGGCACTGCTCCAAGGCAGTGACTTTCCACTTGAGCTGCCCATCAGTCACTTGAAGAATTAAAAAAATAACCAATGCAGGGGCTCTTTGCTGTCTCAGCTGGTAGAGTCTGTGACTCCTGATCTCAGGTCGTGAGTTCAAGCCCCATGTTGGGCATGGAGCTTACTTTTAAAAAAAAGCAAAAAACAAAAAACCCGCTAATGCCTGGGCCTGAGTCCCCAGAATTTAGATTTAATTGGGAGCCGTTAAAGGGTTTGGGCAGGAGAGAAATACAAGCAGAGCTGAACTTCTAGAAGCTTCTAAGAAGGCCTGGGATCGCCAGGTCAGGGAGGAGGGTGCGCTCAGAGCCTGGAGCCTGTTTCAGATTCTGTGTCTCCCTCTCTCTCTGCCCCTCCCCTGCTCACGCTGTCTCTCTCTCTCAGAAATAAATAAAAACTTAAAAAAAATTAAAAATAGAACTACCCTATGACCCAGTAATTACACTACTAGGTATTTACCCAAGGGATACAGGTATGGTGTTTTGAAGGGGCACATGCACCCAATGTTTATGGCAGAGCTATCAACACTGGCCTAAGTATGGAAAGAGCCCAAATGTCCATCAATAGATGAATGGATAAAGAAGATGTTGTACAAATACACACTGGAGTATTACTCGGCAGTCAGAAAGAATGAAATCTTGCCATTTGCAACATGGATGGATCCGGGGGTATCATGCTAAGCGAAATTAGTCAGAGAAAGACAAATATCATATGACTTCACTCGTATGAGGGCTTTAAGACACAGAACAGATGAACATAAAGGAAGGGAAGTAAAAAGAATACAAAAACAGGGAGAGGGACCAAATGTAAGAGACTCTTAAATATAGAGAACAAACAGAGGGTTGCTGGAGGGGCTGGGGGGGGGGGGGGGGGGATGGGCGACATGGGTAAGGGGCATTAAGGAATCTACTCCTGAAACCATCATTTCACTATATGCTAACTAACTTGGATGCAAATTTTAAAAAAAGAAAAAGTACATATGGTCAATACATGCGAGAGGATTCCAGTTACTAATATCATTAGTAATTACTAATGTGACTTTATTGCTGTATCACTAATATCATTAGTGATCAGCAAATTCAAATCAAGACTGCGGTTAAGAAGCTACGTATGCTTGATCAACAGGAGGTGGACAGTCACATACACGCTGTTTGGAAATCAGTTTGGCAGCGAGTTGTAAGGTCTACGTTTCACATATTCCACCATCAGTCATTTCCACTCCCAAGGGTAGACGTGTGTGCACCAGCAGAGAAAGAACATCGCAGCCTTGTTCATAACAGCAAAAACCGAGGAGCAATTCAAATGCTCAGCAGCAGGAGAATGGATAGATAAGTT